AAAAAAAAGGATCAATCCAACAGGAGTGAGGAACGAGAAGGATAATTCCGACCAAAGAAAAAAAAAAAAAAAATTCCGGTCAAAGAAAAAGAATATGAGCGAAGAAAAAAAAATAAAAAAAGTCCTTCGGGACATCCATGAAAATTGAAACGATACAGAGAAGGGTAGATTAGCATGGCCCCTGCACAAGGATGACACGCATAAATCGAGAAACAGTCCAATTTTTTCTAAAAAGAAAGAAGGATACGAGCAGGAGGAAGAGGAGTGCGAGGAGAAGAAGAAGAAGAAGAAGAAGAAGAAGAAGGAAAGAAAAAACGAAGAAGAGGAGAACAAGACGAAAAAGGGAGAAGGAGGAAGGAGAAAACGAAAGAGAGGAGAAGAAGACGAAGAAGACAAGTAAGAAAGGAAATTGAGACACCCGTTCAAACTGGAACGATACACAGATGATTTACTCGGGCCAACTATAACTGAGACAAACTTCAAGGCAAACAGTCCAATAAGAGTTACAGCCAAAAACCGGAGACTACATTCTCTCTCTCTCTCTCTCTCTCTCTCTCTCTCTCTCTCTCTCTCTCTCTCTCTCTCTCTCTGTGTGTGTGTGTGTGTGTGTATGTGTGTGTATGTGTGTCTGTGTGTCTGTGTGTCTGTGTGTTGTGGCCTCTCCCCAGTCCGCGCGCATGAGCCACAGATAGAAGCCTCGTCCTCGCGTTCTTTGTCATAACCTGCCGATGGGATATTGATCAATCATTTGTATTTTTTTTTTTTTGGCCACGCTAATCTTCTCTGTATCGTTCCAATTTTAACGGATGTCCCGAAGGACATATTGATCAATCATTTTAATTGATTGGAGAGGTGAGAAGTCATAATAAAGACTTCTTTCTCTTAATCATTTCAATCATCATTTTTTTATTATTTTTTTTAAATAGGGCCGCGCCTCACTCTGCCTCAGTACAATACAGAGGCACCGCTCGAGGGTTCGAGTAAGCAAGCAAGCCCTTCCTTTTGAATCACCATATTAATTGACCAGCGAGCTGAAAAATCATAAAGACTACTTTCTTTATTCAATCACTCCAATGAACCGGCAAGCGGAACGCTCAGAATCCCTCAAATGAACCCCTCAGCCACAAAGCCTGCACCTTTTCCCTTTCTTCTTTTCGTTTTTTTAGAATACAGACTTCATTTCTCTCTGACCTCGAAATCCCGTATCCTCTATTTTCTCCTTCTTCGTTCATCTCTATCCTTTCTGGCTTCCCTCCCCTCCCAAACACGCTCACTCCATACCCCATTCTCTCTCTCTCTCTCTCTCTCTCTCTCTCTCTCTCTCTCTCTCTCTCTCTCTCTCTCTCTCTCT